TAATATAACCTTGTATTTAAACAATGAAAATTTGCCAGGAAAATTGGGAGAATTTTTCAATGGCTGAAATATTAAAGCTGCAACACCTTCTTAGTTAAGTCTTGGATGGGATGAGCTCCCTTGAAGCCTGGCACACATGACCAAAGAAAGGATTTGATATTTTTCCAACTTTGCTTACATGCACTCGGTGGTCAAAGCCAGACCATCCCCAGGAAGTGCCAAGTCAGGCTTGGTGATTAACTCCACAGTTCTTTCCCAGGCACCGTCTTCCTGATCTCTGCAAGGAACAGGTGCTCAGTGTCAGAGAAGGGGTGAATCCTGACCCAGAGGGCCTCCAGTGTGGCAGGGCCTAACCAAATGTATCAGAGAGGAGAAAATGCCTCAAATTACAAAAATCTAGTTTGCCAATTTTGTCACCAACTCATATGCAATCAAAGTATTTTCAATGTTCATTGAACAAGTGCATATCTGTTAGGCCTGGTGTTGGGTGCTGAGGACATCGAGGTGATTAAGCCAAGATTCCTGTTCTGGAGAGATTAATAGTCAGGGACACAGACATCTAAACAAATAATGTGGAAGGTGCAATAACAGGAAAGACAGAAGCGCTGTCAGAGCATGGCGTATACTCTGGGGAATCAGAGACTGGCCTTTGGGCAGTGTGCAGAGCAGATAGGTCATCGATCTGAGGGAGCCGCGTATGTGAGGCAGAGGGAAATGCAAAAGCCAAGGCATAGAGGTCGGGCCTTTTACAGGGAAAAAAAAGGTCATAGAGACGTGGAAGGTATAGTCTGATTTTTTACCTATCAGATTGTCCATGATTAAAAAATGCATGTGATACTGTGTGGACAGCCATGCTGGAAACAAGTCCTTTCGTGTGTTACTGGTTGGAGCATAAGCTTGTCCGAGCCCTACTGAGGACAATTTGGCCGATGTCTCCTGGTTACAGATGCACCTACACGTAATCTAGCAATCTTCCTCTTTTAGGAAGTTGTCCTGGAGATACACTCGTCCTGCTCCAAAACGTAATTCGGTTAGTTATTGCAACGTGGCTTGTGATAGCAAAAGACTGGAAACAACTTAAGTGTATGTCAGTGGGGACCGGGCAAAGAAACGATGGTGTGGTCCTACAGCGCAACACTGTGGTGCCAGAAAAGAATGGGATAGAATTGGATATGAAGTTGTCATTTGATATGGAATAATCTCCAAGATATAAAGGAAAAGCACGAGGTGCAGAACCACAGGTAGGGAAGATCACTATTTGTGTAAATAAAGTGGACCGAATAGAATGAAGAATACATAGCAAATGCACAAGAGGTCTTTGAAAAGGCGCAAGAAACAAATGTGTTGAATCAGAGGCGGGCAACTGGGAGGTGGGGCACAGGAGTGGACAGGATGATGTTCACGTTGTATTTTTTTAATATATCTATATTACTTGTCAAACATTGTAAGATAAATTTTCCCCACTTTTAACGGAAGTGTAATTGACAAAATTGTATATATTTAAGGTGTACAGTTTGGTATTTTGATATAGATATACATGGTGTGAAAATCACCACAATCGAACTAAATAACGTATCTACAATCTCTCATTGTCACCATTTTTATTTTTGCAGCAAGGACACCTAAGGTATACCCTCTTAACAAATGTCGTCTGCAATACAGTATTGTTAACTATAGTCACCTAGCTCTACCTTGGATCTCCAGAATTTAGCCACCTTGCATAACTGAAATTTTGTATCTTGTGACCAACATCTCCCCATTCCTTCTTCCCCATAATCCCTGGTAACCACCATTCTATTCTCCGCTTCTGTGAATCTGACATTTAGATTAATCACATATAAGTGAGATCGTGCAATATTGTCTTTCTGTGTCTGGCTTATCTCACTTAGCATAATGCCTTCCAGGTTCACCCCTGTTGTTGCAAATGGCAGGATTTCTTTCTTTTTAAATGCTAGATAATATTCCACTGTGCATATACTCCATGTTTTCCTTATCCATTCATCTGTCAGCAGACATTAAGGTTGTTTCTGTATCTTGGCTATTGTGAATAATGCTACTATGAACATGGGAATTCAGATATCTCTTTGAGGTCCTCATTTCATTTCCTTTGGATATATACACCTCTCAATAACTTTAAAGTGTGTGGTGTGTTTGGAGAATCGTCTACAATGGCTGGAATTTAGGGAGTGTATGACTGTGTTGGGCGGGTGGAGGTACAGGAGATAAGCCCAAAAAAGGCTGGAGGTGAAGGGCTTTTTACCCCAATTTATGAAAAGAGGTGTAATGCTATTGGTGGTGTGATGTACAGGGCACTGGCTATGGTTGCAGAGAGACCCTAGAGTCCCACCTGACACTTCCTGGCTACCTGTGATCTTGAGCAAGTTATTAATGTCCTTCAGCCCACATCTCTCAGATGAGGTAGCTGGATGACTGTGCCTAGCCACAGGAGCCTCTGCAAACCCCTCTCCCTCCCTCCTTCCTTTTTCTTTCTTCTTCCTAGTATTCTGGCTTCTCAGTTCCCGCATTTATATGGATGGATCAGAGGGGAAAAAATGTCTGAGCAGGTTGTTCTCCATTGTCCCAGCTTAGCCGAGTCAGGGCGTTTTCACTAAGGCAGGCTTGAGGAGGGAGCATTTAACTCCACGCTGCCTGGTGCTTTTCCATATTCTTTTTCTATAATAAAAAAGGCAATTACAAAATGAGACCCATCATTTTAATTATTTTATTCACCATGGGACTCATTACTATGGTTTTATGCAACACAGAGGGAGGTCTCATGAATCAACATGGCATGGAGAAAATGAATTGAAAATGGAATTGAATGTGAGAGGATCATCCTGAACACAGAACTGCATTCAGATTAGCTCAGGCAATTCCGTTCACCATGGCTCTCAGCATTGGGAAAATATCACTACTTGGTACTTTACGTCCTTTCTGGAGTGACTAAGTGTTTGAGCAAGGCTCAAGATGCCATGTGACTAGTTGATCGTCATGATAGAGAAAAGGGAGAGCGGGTTTAGAATGCAGTGTGCTTTCTAAGGAAGCAGGGAAACTGGAGATTTGGACTGTCCGGATTCAGGGTCCTTGTGGCAGCAGGATCTGAGGACGGCCAGGACAGAAGCCCTGAAACTACCCTGAGAGGGGAATGGGAGGGGCTGAGAATCCCAGGGACCTGATCATTTATTTTGGTGGAAAGTGACATTTTTGGTTTCTACACTTTTATAAATTAGACAGTGCCTCTCTGCTTCTCCTGGTTTCTTTCCTTTTTTGCCTGGTTTTGCATTTAGTCACCATGTTTATAAGTGCCTGTTACTGTATTTGTCTCACATTGTGTGAAGCAATCAGAATACAAAGGGAAATAAGATGGAGTTTCTGTCCTCAAGGAGTTCCCTCCTTGGTGTGCCCCTTCATTTCTCCCCCAATGAAATTGCCCTCTTCAGTTCAAAGTCCATTAATATCAACATCAAACACCCTCCTCCCCTCAACACACACACACTCACAGACCTGGTTGTTGCTTAAAGATCAGTAGTGTAGAAATTAAACAGACCAGGACCCTGCAGAGCCTTCCTGGGGGCAGACGCTCTCTCCTCCCTGTGTTCCCTGCCTCTTGTTTATAGAAAAGTCTTAGCCCCCAGGCCTTCCCCAAGTTCCAAAGAGCAAATTTAATCAGAGAAGTGAGAAAATGTAGAAACAAAGAAAAACAGTCAAGCAAGACAAAATAATAATAGCTTAGCCATAAAACAAAGTCAAGTTCATCCTCAAAGACTATAGATAATATCCTGAGCCACATCCTTGAGTTGCTTTGCAGATACTAAAACTCACACCAGGTGGAAGAAGTTAACTGCTGACCACCAGCACATAGATCCCGGACCAGTTAGAACCAGAAGGTTGATAATTGAGATTCCCCAAACACCACCTGGTCACCTCACCACCAACCAATTAGAAGAATGTCCACGAGCTGATCAGGCACCCTGTGAACTTCTCCCTCATCCTGCCTTTAAAGACTCTTCCCCAAAAGCCATCTGGGAGTTGGGGTCTTTTGAGCATTTGCTGCCCATACTCTTTGCTTGGTGCCTTGAAATAAACACTGTGCTTTCCTTCACCACAACCCAGTGTCAGTAGATTGGCTTTGCTGCACGTTGGGTGAGCAGACCCAAGTTTGGTCAGGTAACAAAAATACAATGAAACTTTCCATTTTCCTTTTTATTTTTTTTGGTGGAGAAGTCAGCCTAGACATTGGCATGTGTGATTTTGATGCTTGGCCAAGAGAGATGGTCAACAAAGTGATAGTGGATCGAAGACTGAGTGTGCATGCCACGCATACTACCTCAACCATGTAACCAAACTTCAAGTGACCAGTGACAAACTGCATTATGCACCTCCTGATGTAATACAATGGGAAATACACATCATCTGAATCTAGTAAGGAGAAAGCAATCAGACAAACCCAGAACGTGGGGCATCCTACACATAGCTGGCCTGGACTTTTGAAAATGTCAATGTCATGTGAGATAGCCACCATCCAGGGGGCCCCTCAATGATCCTAGCTTCTTGGTGTTCATGCCGTGTGTAATCCCCTCTCATGTTGACTAGGGCTGACCCGTGTAACTAACAAGGTATTGCAGAATTGTATGTGTATGTCTTCCCAGGCTAGGTCACGAAAGACAGTGTGGCTTCGGCCTTGTTTCCTCTTGCTCAGTTGCTCTGGAGGAAGATAATCTCCATATTGTAAAAAAGACACATAAATAGTCCTCTGGAGAGGTCCACGTGGGGAGGATCTGAGACCTCTTGCCAACAGCCAGACCATCTTTTCAGCCATGTGAGTAAGCCACCATGGTCCCCCAGCCTCAAATCAGACTTCAGATAACTTCAGCCACAGGTGACCTATGACTGACCCCAAACCAGAACTGCCCAGCTAAGCCATTCTCAAATTCCTAGCTCACAGAAAATGTGAGCTAATAAGTGTTTAGACTTAAGTCACTAAGTTTTCAGGTAATTTATTATATAGCAATAGATAATGAATATGTTGTGCAAGAAAATGAAAGGCAAAGGAATTATTCCAAATTAAAAGAGACTAAAAGAACACGGCAACCAAAGGTAAACATAGCTTTTCATTGCATCCTGGAAATGAGGGTGACAGCTAACAGGATGTTTGGAGGATAATTGGGGAAATAGGGTTAACATTTTTTAATCAATGTCAAAATTTGGGGGTAAGATAATGCTGTTGTGATTAAGCAGATTAATGAGTTTTGTTCTTAGGAGATGTAAATTGGAGTCGACAGGGTGAAATGTCATGATGCTTACAATATTTAATATTTTCCATTACAAAATTATATACAGAGATAAAGCAAACGTGGCAAAATGAATTTTGATGAAGATTATATGTTTATTGTACTACTGTTTTGGTTCTTCCATACATTTGAATATCTTAAAAATAAAAATTTGGGCGTCAATATGCATACAATTTGAGCCAGTAGTTAACTTGCAAGAATTTATCCTGGTGATGTAATTAAAGATAAGCACAAAGATTTAACTGCAAGAATTTTTATGATTACCTTTTCATAGTTGCCAAAATACAATTTTGACATGGATATTTTTATTCTATTTTTTATATTTTTAGGTCTATATTCAACATACCCCTCACAATTAAAAATTCAATTGTCAAATATCTAAATATTCAATCAATAGAAGAATCATCAAGTTACATCAATACTATGGAATACTATTCCACCATCAAAAATGATACTGAAGATGAACAGTTATTGATATTTTAAAAACTTGCTGTTGAGTGAATAAAAGGGCACAAAAATCAGCAAGGATAATGTGACCTTATTTCTAGAAAATATATGTGTAGAAATACATGTGGAAGGATAATTTCATGCAAGATTCCACCTGGAGCCATCTCTGGGTGATGGGAGAATGAGTATTTTATTTCTTTTTCGCTTGTCTGTGTATTTTAATTTTCTCCCATGAATATGCACTGACCTTGTTATAAGGGGGGGAATGGTTATCATTGATTTAAAATGATAGAGACGCTGTTTTCATTTTGGTGTCATGTGCTTGTATGCAAATTGGCTGGTACTCTCACAAGAAAAATCAGGTTAACCTCTTTCATGAATTGTAAAGATGATGTGAATCTTGGCTAGGTTAGAAAGAAAGATGCTTTGTTTCCCCAACAACTTAACGTACAGATGAATCCTAACCAACCGTAATGAGTTGAATTTCTTTTCTGTGGTTAATTCGTACATTCCAGTACAAAGGTCCTTCCTGTACCCTTACCCTGGATGCTGCTGTGTCTCAAAGATGCCCTTCTGGGAGTCCCTCCCAGGGTTCTGTGGTTTCCCCCTTCTCTCACACTCTCTGCAGCTGCTCCTGGAAGTCCCTCACCCTGGCGTCCCTTCTCTTGACCAACTGTATTCCCTGCACAGGAAGGTGAGAGGCTCCTCCTGGTTTTGCCCACTGCCCTTGTCAGTACCACTGGCTTCCGCTGCTGCCAACGGCCTCTCCCAAAGCGTACAGACCCTCTTTTCCCCTTACTCAGAAAGGAGAAAACTCCACGTGACCCCAAGGCTGATAGTCATACTTGAATCACACTAGGTATTACCCACTTCTTACTTAGCCCAGGTGCCGAGACAAGATGGACTCTGAGTCCATCTTCCTTCCAGTCCCCAGGTAGAGATGGCTCCAAGCCTGAACCTTCTGACAGTGTCCCTCACTTTGCCTACCCCATGGGGAACCTGCCTTTCAGTTCTAAACTGTGACCTCAGGTTCTAGCCACAGGGGGCACATGCAGACTCACTGGGGCCAACAGCTCTGGCCTCATGGGCGTTGTTCATGCCTGAGGGCTTCAGAGTTGCTCAAATGCCTTCACATTTGATTATCACAAGTACTGTGAGGTACTGAGAGAGGAGACACTGGGCTCAGCAAGGAAGTGATGGAGCTGGAGTTGGACGTCTACTCAAAGGAGGCTGGTGGTGGAGAAGGTGGGTGAGCTTTTCAGATAGACCTGGGTGCAAATCCTGACTTTGCCATTTATTATCCACGTGGTATTGAGCAGGTTATCCAAAGTCTCGAAGTTTCCTGAGTCTCAAAGTTTCCTCATCAATAAAACGGAGATAAAAATATTTAGCTAATTGAATTGTGATGAAGACAAAAGTACTGGAAAAACAGGAAGGGCTCAATAAATTTTAGTTTTCTCTCCTTTGTCCAGAGGTCTTCTGGCTACACGTGCAATTTCTCCCAGTAGAAACGTTCCGGTGGGG